ACCTCTTGGCATTTCCGTGGGAGAAGGGAGCGTTTGAGCGCTTCGTGGATAAGTTGGAAAGGAAGTATTTCCCAGAGGATCACATCGATGCTTTGGTTCCACCGCTCGACAAGGAGCCCAAAGCGAAAGCTGGGAAATCCAACAAGGACAAGAAACTTTCCGCAAGGCCATCTTCTGCTCAAAGCTCGTCTTTCGAAGCTTATGCGGCTGATGCGTCTGTTGAGAACGTCGAAGAGACTTCTCCAACTCGTCCAGCTTCCGGTTCCATTGAGATTTCTCCAGATGATTGGGAGCCCGAGGCGAGTTCTCCTGACACTTACGCCGAGGCTGTTTCTGATGAGACGCCAAAGAGGAAAGCAGCCGATACTTTAACTCCAAGACCACCTGTGATAACTCGAACCGTGAAGTTGCCGGAAGAATGGGACGGGCCTCTTGGAACTGTAGTGTTGATAGACAAGCCTCATGGTATGCGCTTTTCTACCTGGATCAATCACTCTGCCGTGTTTCTTTGTGTTTTTCAGGCTGGACATCATTTTCCGTGTGTGCCAAGCTCCGTAAGCTTCTCAAAATTAAAAAGGTCCACGGAGTCAATCTTTTTCTTCTTCCGTGTAACACTTCGTTTTTTACAGGTTGGTCATGCTGGGACACTTGATCCTATGGCGACTGGCCTGCTTATAGTTTGCGTTGGGAAAGCAACTAAATTCACAGATAGGTGTGCATCTCTTCGTGTTTTCAAAGCCCTTCTTACTAGCCAGTTGTTTTCTCAGCTACCAGGCGATGAAAAAGTTTTATTCCGGAACGCTGCGTCTTGGAGAGGCAACACCATCTTATGATGCAGACACATTGGTCATTTTTTCTTTTTCTCTTGCGTTTTCTTCTCGTTGTACTTAGCTCGGTCCGGCAGGTTTCTGAGAGGATGCCATGGGAGCACGTAACTGACGAGGACATGCAGATAGTTAAAGAAGAGTTCGTGGGCACAATAAGGCAAGTCCCACCTCTGTATTCCGCTCTTAAGGTAAACGGACGCACCCACCACTCCACTTATCTAAAGCATACCGCTTTGTATATTCAGGTTGAAGGAGAAAGGCTCTACGAGAAAGCACGTCGAGGAGAGACATTTCAAATTCCTCCCAGACTAATCAGCATTGAAGAGCTACAAGTCGAACGCGATTCTATTGACAGGTAGGCTTGGCTGATGATTGAGCAGTGTAAATTCGTGTTGCAGGCAAAATTTCCATTTCAAAGTCGCCTGCTCCAAAGGAACGTATGTCCGCAGTTTATGTTATGATCTTGGCCGTGCTCTCAACACGTAAGTTTCTACTTCATGTCACAAGGTTCACGTGTTGAGATTTCTCTTGCTTCAGTTGTGCACATCTCGTCGCGTTGCGCCGGGACAAGATTGGTAATGGTTGTTTTTTCTCTTCCCTGGTTCTTGAAATAGAAATGTTCTTTGTCGCAGGGGAATTCTCAGTTGACGACGCCTGGACATTTTCCGAGCTGGGGAGTAACTTTGCAGACGATTTTTTGGGAAGAGCGTGCTCGAAGACTTCCCCCACCACTGTGACGAACATGTCGCTTGAGGACGCTTGGGAGTTCCCGGAGCTCCAAGAAAGCCGAGTCGACGATGACGACTTCTAGGTTCGTTTTTTGGTTGTCGTGCAGTAAAACAGACTCACACATTCGCTGGACCGACCGCGTCACTATACTGTTTAGTTTGCGTCCCGTGTCGCCACGCGTGAGACGTCAATATCGGATAGGAATATCCTTCTCCTTGAGCTTACTTTTACGATAACGCGCATCTATCGGAGTCACAGAGCGAAGCCGGCGGCCTGTTCCTCCTCTCAAATTGTAAGTAAGATGTGCAAGTTTTTGTGCTCCAAATCGGTACCTTTGCGCTTGCTGAGAGCCGAGATCTTAACTCTTCCTCTTGGTTTTTCTTTGTGCAGAATGAGAAGGGGAAGATGAGTGCCACCGAGAAGCCGGAGAAGCACAAATACAAGCTATGCGGATGCATCGGTAGGAGCTTCAGGATGACATCCCTGTCAGCCCCAAAGGATGTCGAGGATATTTTTGTCAAGTACGCGCAGAATGGCATCATTGGGGCTGCACAGTTGCAACAGTTCTTGGTAGAAGTCCAGGGCGAGAAAGACGCGACTCTCAAACAGGCCGAGGAAATTATAGCTGCCCAGCATCGTGAAAGTCATGTCATCCATGTCTTGCATCGGCAAGGCTTCAACCTCAACACGTTTCTACAATATCTTCTCAATCCTCAACTCAATCCTCCGATCAACCTCAGCGTAAGTGTCCATTTCAACTATTTGCCTCTGATGTTACCAAGTCTTTCTGCTTTGCAGGTCCACCATGACATGACCAAGCCAATGTCACATTACTACATTTGTACTGGACACAATTCTTACCTGACTGGGAACCAGCTGAGCAGTGCTTGTAGCGAGGTGCCAATTATCAAGGCACTTCAGAAAGGAGTACGTGTCATTGAGTTGGATCTTTGGCCGAATGAAGATGCGGAGGACAAGGTCAATGTTCTTCATGGGCGGTACGTTCTTCGTTCTTTGTTCGTGGTTGTCATTGTTTGTTTCTTGGTTTCTTTTTGCCGAGCTAAACTTTGGTGAAAACAGGACACTTACGACACCAGTGGATTTCGAGAAATGCATAGTCGCAATTAAAGAGCACGCGTTTGAAGCATCAGAATTCCCCTTGGTTATAACTTTGGAAGATCATTTAACTCCTGCACTCCAAGCCAAAGTTGCAGAGGTAAGATCCTAGAACATACTTTTTGTGCTGGCCGTAAACTGATTGCCTTCAGATAATCACGCGAAACTTAGGAGACCTGCTTTATCTTCCCGATGCACAGACGACTTGCATTGAATTTCCATCGCCTGCGTCGCTCAAAAAGCGCATTTTAATTTCCACCAAACCTCCCAAAGAGTATCTGGCAGCGGTAGAGCCACCAAAAGATGTTATTCATCCGAAGGATGGGGCCTGGGGAGAGGACATCCCAGATTACAATGAACAAGTCGAGGAAGGTGCTGAAAAGGTTAGTTTTTTATCTAGTAAAGTTTAAGTTCCATAAGTAAAAGCTTGAAGCAGGCTTCTCCACCCGCGGCACCCGATGCAGATACAAACGATTCAGACGACGATGACTCTATAGGCAAGAAAACGGCCCCCGAGTACAAACGGATCATCACAATCCGTGCCGGAAAGCCAAAAGGAGTACCAATGAAAGAAGCTATGGCGGCAAAGGAAGACATAGTGAAACGCTTTAGCGTGAGCGAGCCTCAACTGGAAAAAATTTGCAAGAACCACCCCCTCACTGTGATCAAGTAAGCGTTTTATCGTTCAAGACTAGATCTTATATTCCGAATGTGGTGTGCAGCTTTACCAGCCGGAACTTCTTACGAGTGTATCCGTATGGCCTTCGCTTTAACTCTTCAAACTATAATCCTTTCGTCGCGTGGTCGCACGGAGCTCAAATGGTGGCATTCAACATGCAGGTAGGCTCCTAGTCCTTCTTAAGGTGTTCTTCTTTAATTCCTTCCATTTTTTATGGCCAGGGGTATGGTAGACCTCTGTGGATCGTGCATGGATTCTTTAAAGCAAATGGTCGCTGTGGATACGTGAAAAAGCCAGATATGTTTCTTCCAAATGAATCAGGAGGCCCGGTTTACGATCCTGCCAAAGCGGCAAGCGTCAGAACGAGGCTCAAGATCAAGATCTTCATGGGGCTTGGCTGGCTTGAAAAATTCGGCAAGCGACACTTCGACAACTTCTCCCCTCCGGATTTCTATGCAAGAGTAAGTCCCCCGTGCGAGAATCAAAGCTTTCAGCAACCATTTGTTTGTTTTCTCAGGTTGGAATCGCTGGCGTCCCTGCAGACCAGAAGATGCGACGAACCAAAGCGATCGAAGACGACTGGCATCCAAAGTGGGACGAAGAATTCGAGTTCAAGCTCACATTCCCGGAGCTGGCTGTGCTGCGTCTCGAAGTCCACGAGTATGACATGTCCGACAAGGACGATTTCGGGGGCCAGCTTTGTCTCCCGGTTTCGGAGCTCAAGACCGGCCTGAGGCACGTCACCCTGTGCGACAAGCGGGGCGACGAGCTCTCTGGAGTGAAGCTGCTGCTACAAATCACACGGAACGATTCTCCAGTGTGAGAATGAGAAGAGAATCGTGAGAAGGTCACTGGAGTGATGAGAAGGCAAGCATGGAGAAGAGAAACAAGAAAAGTGTGAATAAAACCTGGGTTTTGGTTGGTTTTTACAAAAAAATTTGGAGAAAATGATCTAAGTGACAAGAATTCTACATAGCATTTATTAGATAATCAGAGAAATGACAGGCTAAACTTTTGTATTTTGTTTGTCAATCATAAGGTTTAATAATTGATTAGTATACACTATTTAAGCTGATGAATACCATTATTCATTCATTCAACCATGTTTCTAATAATAATGATAATATTTTTCTCCATTGTTCATTTTGCAAATGCTCAGGTAACCTAGTGACTATTGTTTACAAATGCTAATGCAAAAATTTACAACTTTAGTGTACCTATACAATAACAATACAAACAGGCTGTGAACCAATGGCTGGGACTGATGCCAATGTAAATATTGCTATCACAACGTTTTCAGGCTTGACTCTACATTTTTACAATGTTGATGACCCGCATGTGGATAATTTTGAGAGGTGCAAGCTAGATTTATTTACTGTGCTTGGAGTATGTATACCAAAGGAGGATGCAATATGTAGGCTTTACATTGCCCATGATAATACCGGAAAAAACCCAGAGTGGTATGTAGAATGGGTTGAGTTTGCTTCGATGAATGGTGGCTTTGGTAAAATCCATTTCAAAGTTAATTCGTGGTTGAAATATGAAAATACAGCTGCAGTTGTTGAACGATGTAACTTTTGATCAGGTTAATAAAGTTAATAAAGTTTAGCGTTTCACGTTAACAACCAATCGCAAGGGAATCTTTGGTCAATTGGGTGCTGCTAAGACGAAGAATGGGGAGGTATCTTTTTTCTCCTTCGTCTTATTTCTTCCTCATCGTGCCCATCGCGGCTCCTAGATAAAAATCGAGCTGGAAATTGGAGAGAGAATCCATGGCGAGTCCATCGCTCCATTTCGCCGATCCAGCGAGCAATTTGATGGGCAGTTTTGCTTCGTTTCGAGGACCTAAATGCAGGAGAAAAAGCTGCTTGAGAGCTATGGCGTCGTCGAGCTCCAAAAACCTCGAGGTAAAGTTCTTGAGATAGAGATAGAGTTCTCTGAGATGTAGAGTTTTGGGAGTTTTAGATTGTCTATGATCCGGTCGGGAGGTATGAAGAGCTCACCAGGGAGCTGCAAACCTCGGGTGGTTTTGCTCGAAATCTTACATTGTTTTCGCCATCCAAGGTATGTATAGTTTTCCCCAAGTTTTCCTCCTGGATAGAGCTAAAGAATTTTATAACCAGATCAATGTTTTCTTGAGAATCACGAGCAAGAGACCTGATGGCTACCACGATTTAGCATCACTCTTTCATGTAAGCTTCTGGTCTTTTTTCTCTTGTTCTAGTTTCTCAAGAAACTCTTCACTCAGGTGATTAGCCTGGGAGATACTTTAAAGTTTTCAGTTTCTCCTTCTAAAAAGAAAGACTCGCTTACAACAAATGTGTTTGGAATCCCACTCGACGACTCAAACTTGGTAAAACTATCCCTTCATTTGCTTCCGAGGATTTACTAAATGTTTTGTGTGATTCTCTTGCAAGGTGATCAAAGCTCTAAATCTTTATAGAAAGAAGACCGGGAGCGACACATACTTCTGGGTAAGCTCTCAATAAACTTTCCTCGATCAAAGCATTTAGTTTTTCTTCTTAAGGTTCACTTGGACAAAAGAGTTCCAAGCGGTGCTGGCCTTGGAGGTGGCAGTGGTAATGCCGCCACTGCTCTCTGGGCCGCAAACCAGATAAATGGAAACCTTGCTAGCGAAGCGGATCTACAAGAATGGTCTGCGGAGATCGGCTCTGATATTCCTTTCTTTTTCTCGCATGGAGCAGCCTTTTGCACTGGCCGTGGAGAGGTAAAATCACAAAGTTTCATAGAAGTTTGATGAGATTTTTGCTGAAAAGTTTTAGCGTTTTCCTTAGATTGTTCGAGACATTCCAGCTCCGTTGCCTTTGGACACTCCACTCGTGCTCATCAAGCCCAAGGAAGCGTGTCCTACTGCGGAAGTCTACAAGGTGCGATCAAGGATTTCTCTCTTGAGATGGTGTTTACAAACTTTTTCGCTTTGCCAGCACTTTCGAATTGCCGACGCGAGCTCTGAGGATCCGGAGGAGCTACTGAGAAAGATCATTGAGAATGGAGTCTCGCAAGACGTTTGCATCAACGACCTTGGTATGGAAAATTCGGAAGCTAGCTGAGCTCGCTCACATCTTTTGTTTCTCTTTGAGTAGAAGCTCCAGCATTTCAAGTGCTACCATCTCTGAAGGCTCTCAAGCAGCGGATAATGGCAGCCAGCAGGGGCAAATACAAGTCCTTGTTCATGTCAGGAAGGTAAGGAAAAAAAATCATATTTTTCTTGCCTTTCAACGAACAACACACTTTGTTTTTTCAGTGGTAGCACTCTGGTTGGCGTGGGAGACCCCGAGCCGCCAGAATTTATATACGATGATGAGCAACATAGTGATACGTTTGTTTCAGGCAAGTGTGCTGAGTTCTCGAGGTGTGGATCGTCACTTTTGCTTTGATCTTTGATCCACAGAAGCATATTTTGTGACAAGGAGAGATAACGAATGGTACCAGCAGCCACTCTCGCAACCCGAGGCAGTCATAGACAAGCATGACATCAATGAAGTTTACAATCAGCTCTTCACAGGATCTGATAAGTGAGGATCGAATTGATCCATTCCATCGTCGAAAGAAATCTATCATAGCATATCACTCAAGAGTGGACCCGCTAGAAATCACGCAACATTGGACGCGTTAGAACGCTGAGATCAGCATAAGCTAGGAGCGAGCAAAAGAACTGATGGAAAGAGAGTTATAAACTAGGAAGAAAGAGATATCCCCGCCTCTGTTTGAATAGATGCTATTAGGGTTTGCGAGATGAAGCGCAAGGCTTCCTTCAGTGACGCGGCGCAGGCGTCTTCGTCGTGCGGCGGCGAGGAGGCGATCGATGCGGCGGAATGCGTGTTGCCAGCGCTGCTCCCATTCAAGCGATCGCAGCTCCTGGAGCGCTACCCCAAGGGCAACACGCGAGGTAGGCACTGGAAGCACCTCAAGCAGATAATCCAGGCCGAGAATTTCCATCTGCTTCCGGCTGATGAGCCCAACTGTGAGTTCCCTGATTCCATGCCAGTGATCCTGTTTCTTTCTTTCGCTTGCAGATGTTAACATCGAATCGCCTCCTTCCATGTACCCCTCCAAGAAATACTGCGACATCTCTGGATTTGAGGTAAGGTGCTGTCTCGCTATTTCTCCACTGAGTGATCTCCCCTCTTTCGTTATTTTCTCCTTCAAAGGCACCTTACACGGATCCACGAACAAAGCTCAGATATGCAAATGCCGATGTCTTCAAGCGCATCAGATGTCTTCCCGACGATTACGTTCAAGGCTACTTGGGTCTCAGGAATGCCACTGTAGTTCTCAAGTAAGCTCTCCTCGACTTAAGCACAAGCCTGGATATAGCACAGTTCTTGGGGATAGTATAAGCAACGAGAAAGGAAGGCTAGAACGAGCAGGAGTCTGGTTATCGAGAACTATTGGTTAGTATAGAATGGAAGAAACTCAAGGATAGAGTGTAGGACCGGAGTTAGCAACGAGGAAGAGCCATTATCAAGCCAGCCCCATGAAGCCCGAGTTTCACGCACTTGGTGGAGTTCTTGAGGGCATGAGCAAGAAGAAAAATTCCAACGATGGTGGCTGCTACAATCTGGCGCTTGCTGGGTGGTGGAGGATACAGGGGCCGTGGCTATGCTAAAAATGTGAGAAGCTTTTGCTTTCACTCGTCGCCGTCGTTTCCTAGTTATGTTCTACGGTCCCCGAAAAAGGTCCTTTTGCGTGTAAGCTGCAGCCCGAGAGGATGTTATCAAGTTCCTTCAGGGCCTGACGACGAACAACATGAACAAAATTGAGCAGGATTCTCCGGCGAGGCTGGAGAAGCTGGACAGATCGGGAACAGGCCCCGGGAGCGAGAAGTCGCCTTCAAAGCTGGTAGTGGTGTTTGGACTCCTGGCGTTCGTATGACGGACTTTCACTTGTTTCAGGCACAAACTGCGTGCATGTCAAAAGAGCTCGCAGTCTCGCAGTCGCAGATCTACGTGGTTTGGAAGTGCTCTGGAGTGTGAACGTGACAACGAGGGCTCTGTAGGGTGTGGGGCTGGACGTGATGCTGCTGGGAATTCTTCAATGTCCAAGGCTGGCGTTGGCATAAAGATCCCAGGACAGGATGTCTCGGCTTTCGAGGTGTCTTTTCGGACGTAAGTTTCATAGTGACGCTGATCTATAACAACAGTTACACGTTGTTTTTTTCTTTTCCAGCTCCACTGATTGAAGAGGTTGCCGAGGAGCAGTATTATCTTTTGTCGAGGTTGGAACAAGGAATTCCAGAAGGAGACCGGCTGTGGAGGTTTTCTCTACTGTGTTGAGTTTTTCTTAATCTAGTGATTGACAGGGGAGGCGATTCCTCTCGAATACAATCCAAGCGATCGACTTCGACAATGGAGCGATAATTTTCTTGACAGGTGGCAAAGGTACGCTGAGCCGTGGACATTTTCTTACTTGTGCTCATTGCAGAGATCAGTGAGGCTGGTGCTGAAATCGTCGACGCAGAATCGTCCAAGAAGATGGATACTGTGACCATTGCACAGGGATTTGCTCTTGTCAGACTGAAAGCGGTGTCCAAACCACTAAGCATAGGTGGCGGCATGCAACGAAGGTCCTACCACACAAGTGGTTTTTGTCCGCGGTGATTTTCTAGTGAGCACGGCGGGGGGTGAATAGCGGCTAAAAATGGACGGGAAGCCTTTCGTTCTAGTCGTGGCCATCGTTTTGCTATGGTCTTCATCTCCAGCAGAATCGAAGGACTGCTCCAGAATTCAAAGGAAGACTTACAAATCTCCAGCTTTTTCTCTGGAGCCGGGAGATGTCCAAGACCGATACTACGAGCTCGAGTTTCCCAAAGGTCATATCGGCGTCAAGAACTTCCAGGGAGAGGTTGTAGACGAGCTTGGGAATTCCGTGCCTCTGAGCGAAGTCTATCTGCATCACTGGGCGGTATATGGCCACTACATGAAGAGTTCCGAGAGAAAAGAGCTGGTAAGAGGCGGCTTCCATCATGGACGGGATCATCTAGGCTCGTCATCAGCTAAGACCGCTGGAAACGCTGGAATTTGTCAGGAGGACATCCTGTCGCAGTTCTGGGGTCTTGGTTCCGAGACGAGGCAGACGAGCTATTATATTCCAGGCTCCTATGCTATCGGCGTTGGCAATCCTCCGGAAGGCTACGAGGAGCTCTGGGTGCTCAACGTCCATGCCATTGACACCAGAGGAACGTATGATCCCCAAGGATGCCTCGAGTGCCGCTGCAGCTTATACAACGTAACAACAAAAATCTCGGGACAGCCTTTGAAGGAAGGCTACAAAGGCGGTTTCAGCTGCTGCTACGACGGGACTAAATGCGCAGTGAGGCCGGGATTTCAAGCATCAAAGAGGACTCTCTACATGCAGTACACCATTGAATGGGTGGAGTGGGACGAGTGTGTCCTGCCTGTTCGTGTTTACATATTCGACATCACAGACAGCAGGAAGCGTGATCCAGTCGACCGTGATGTTGGCTGCAACGTTCGTTTTTCCTGATTTTTCTTTTTGGCTTCTTACTATCGTCCTGCAGATCGAGTATGACGTTCCTGCTTGTGACCCGTCCTCGAATCCCGATTGCATTCATCAGCTGGAGAATCACCTGGTGATTCCCAAAGGAGGCAGCTTTATCTACGGAGTAGCGCATCAGCACGGTGGAGCCATGGGCATAACCATGCACGGAGAGGTACAGTAGACAAAACTCTCGTCTTTCTAACGATTTCACTGGCTTTTCCAGGATGGACGGCACTTGTGCTCCTCGATTCCTATATACGGGAATGGATCAGCTCCTGGCAACGAAGCTGGCTACGTTGTTGGGATGTCTACGTGCACTCCTGAGCCAGGGACTGTGACGATCGCGAGCGGCGAGAAGCTCCGCTTGTCTTCGTCTTATAGCTCCGCCCAGGAGCACACGGGTGTCATGGGGTACTTCTACCTCGTCGTGGGCGACGATGACACCGTGTCTCTGGGAGAATTCAAGGTATGTGTGGTGTTTACCTCAAGTTCTTTCAAGTTCTTAGATTGAGCGATTCGAAACTCCAGGACATGGAGTTAATGTGATGGCGGATCGTTGCTGTGGTGGGAGTTGGCGCCTGGAAGAAGAAACGAGTGTCTCGTGGAGGATATAGTGCATTGCCATGATAAGATTATTTGTGGCTCATATCTGTCTATACATTTGGGGAAAAAAGGATGATCAAACTTCTGCACAGTTTGCGAGTATGTGTTCGAATATGAAAGATCAAAAATTTCATGAGAACTATAAACTTCGTGGTTGTGCAGATCAACTTTTTTAGTGTTTTTTTAGAGTTTTTTTAGAAGGAAGAAGAACCGGAGAAGTTTTGAGAGAGGTGCAATAAAACTCCACTGCAGTCCCCCGCGGAGTCCAGTTTCATCTGATCTATAACAACAGTTCTACATTTTTTCTGGTTTTTTTCTTTCAAGCGAGGTTGGAACAAGAACTGTGTTCGATTTTTCTTAATCTAGAGGCGATTCCGCTAATACAATCTGGAAGGTCTCGATTGTCTTCGACAAGATCGATCTTCTGGGACGCGAGATCTCGGATATATCCCCACAAACCGCATGTGGGCCAAGAGCTGGTCTATGGAAGCCGTGTGGTCTATTGCTCATAGGAAGCACATTGAAGACAGCGACTCATGGTACGGAAATTGTCGCTGAATCGTCCAAGCACTTGTAAGACTAAAAGTGATGTCCAAACCACTAAGCATAGGTGACGGCATACAGGTGAAGTCCTACGACCCATGTGGTGAGTTGAGCACGGCGGGGGTGGATAGCAGCTAAAAAATGGACGGGAAGTTTTTGGTTCTGGTCGTGGCCATCGTTTTCCTATGGCCTTCATTTCCAGCAGAATCGAAGGACTGCTCCAGAATTCAAAGGAGCACTTACAAATCTCCAGCTTTTTCTCTGGAGCAGGAAGAGGTCCAAGACCGATACTACAAGATCGAGTTTCCCAAAGGTCAAAGAACTTTCAGGGAGAGATTGTAGATGAGCTTGGGAATCCCATGCCTCTGACCGAAGTCTATCTGCATGACTGTCAATTTATGCGGCTCTTCCAGGATGGTTGGCACTTCTGCTCCTAGATTCCTTTATACGTGGTGGAGGTGAGGGGCAATTTTGATTGTCTCAAAGGAGTGCTTGGATTTGGGATTCTACTTTAAATTCAACTTTTGCATTGTCTAAATCTCCTTTTCTTTATAATTTTTTCAATTTCTTTTCTTTTGCTTTTTTCCTTTTTATTCATTTCATGGTAGAGTAGCACCCTCCTCCCCTTTTTGACTCTAATGCAATAATTGGTGTAATTACTCAATGTTATGTGGTTGCAATTGAATAATCAGTCTTAGTTGATAATGATATTCATGGCATATGGTACAACTTTTCTTGCTCTTGTTGCCAATCTTCACGTATTGCCAAAGATCTTCTATAAGAATCCTGGGTACTATTGGTTTGATCACTTTATGGTGATTGCCACATATTATTCTTGGAAAGATGTTTAGCGTTTGCGTGAGTTTCCAAGTGTCTATAAAGGATGGCATTACAATGGTACAATGGTTTGAGCACAACCACTCATAAGGATTGGAGCATTCTTTCAGATATCTTTAAATGCACATTTAGACATGTTGATAATTGTGATTATGCCTTCTAACAATTACATTGTCTTCATCAAGGTCAATTTGAGTCAGTGATGTAATTTAGTATTTGTTTTCAAAGCCTTTTACTTTGTGCAGAACCAAATATATTAAAGTGGATCAAATTGGGAATGTTGTAGCTAACATTTTGTTAAGATTTTGTAAGACTTATGCATACACTTACTTTAACCATTCTTTACAATGCTTTTCACTTGGCACAATATTATAAAATGTTGCCTCTTCCACTTTTTGTTACACATCCTTCAACTTTACTTCCTATAGAAGATAGTCATGTTCTTATGGAGGTTCATGCTGCTGCTGCTTGAATTCAAGGACAAGAGCGAGGATGTGGTCGTGGCTATGATGTCCCTTGCTAGGTGTATGATGAAGTTAATCACATTTATTAACGTTATCGGCATTTTCCAGATTGGCAACCTCCATTTCCTAGGTGGAGACTTTGGCATCAACAATTTCTTATTAGTGCTGCTACAGTGGAAAGTCTGAACACTGAGAAATGGGAAATGAGGAGTTGCATGAGTAACAGAGGGTCCTTGCGTGAATAAGTTAGTAACCTTTCCATTTTTCTTTCAAAAGTATCATTAAGGGGTTCATTCGATCTGGTATTTACTTTCTAAGCTTGTTGTTATCACAAAAGTTCTTCTATTATTCTCTTTGTATTGGTTGATACAGACTTGAGTTTATCTTCTATTGCTTAGCCTATTACTACATGTTATCGTCTACATTTGCGTTATACATCAGAGCTAGTTTTCATTCTTTATGGCAACGGCTACACACGTATGTACATAGGATGAGGTGGATCTAGTTATGTGTGTGGGAGATCTCAAACTTGAGTTGCAATCATTGCGGGTGGTGCCAAATCAAGTTTTTGACCTCATTCTTGGTATAGATTTGTTGTGGCACAATAATGCCAAATGTGATTTTGAGGCTTCTCACTTTTGTTTTATACTTTTTTATATTTCTTTTATTCCTCTCACTTTTATATCTTTTCATCTTATTTCTACTTTTGTTTCCATCACTTTTATCTCTCCATTACTTTTTCTTATATTTTCATTTTGTTCTTTTGTTCCTTTTTTGGATCCCACTGACAATCTTTGTGTTGTAGCAATTGACCAGTTCATGAAGGAGTATATTGATCTTTTTGAATTTGATCTGTTATCTAGGGCCAAAATTGTAACACGTCATCCTATTCCAATTGGGGATGCTTGTCCAATCAAAGTTTTCGTTTGTTGTCGGTCACCAAAAAAGATCATAATTTTACATATCAACGTTAAGGAGATGTTGGAAAAAGGTGTTATTCAAAAGTCACAGAATCTTTAGACGTGTGAACCTCATTTTGTGATGAAGCATAATGAGAGTATTTGTTTTTGCATCGACTATCATCCGTTAAACAAAGTGATGATTTTGGATATGTACCTTCTTCTTCACACTAGTCATCTTTTAGATCATCTAGGGAGAAGTCATTGATTTACCAAGCTAGATTTTGCTTTTAGGTACTGGCAAGTGTTGATGGCTGAGGAAGATATTCCTTTGATTGCTTTTTGTATATCATTTGGTTTGTACGAATGTTTAGAGATGCTATTTGATTTGAACAGTGCTAAATTGTTACTAAACATAAACACTCCTTCTCTATTGTGGAGTAGTTCAACTCTGATGATTGTAATGTCTAGCTGATATATGCAATGGGATGGCACTGATTAGGCATACTCAAGCTCTCTTGCATTGACACACCTTCAAAATTGATATTAGAAACATCCATATGCAAAATGAAAAGTCAAGTATAGTTAGGATATGCCAAAACTAAAGGAGTTATCAATAACTTTTTGAGAGCCCGTTTACAGTCCACATACCAGATGAAAGATGATATTGATGACTTTAACAATACTCACAATAGTGTAGTATGACTAGAAAGATGATCAACAAAACAATTGAGATATTGCACCTTGCCTAGGAAGTATTGCATATCATTCGCACACGTCGGCATAAAGGACTTTGAAACAGCCACAAGTTTGTTAAAACCAACTTACAAACTATTACGAAAAATATAATATTCAAGAGAAGTTGTGTCCTTGGAACCAAACACACACTTCAACCACTTTAATCACTTCAACTTTAAACCAACTTCCCGTAGCCAATCTAACACTTTATGAACATTACATATGTGTTCCTCCTACGTCCCTTCTAAGTGGATCAAGACATCATCGATGAAGTTAGCAGTGACTTTTGGCATATCACAAAGAACCTTGTCCATTATCCACTAGAAAGTTGTTGGGGGGTTTCGAGAAACTTTATGTATATTTACATGGTTCTCAAACATTACTAAAAGGTGATTATACTATAGTTACTTTATTATTTAAGCAGAAGAACTTGGTTAATCGTACGGCTTGATGAGCTTTGAAGCTTTATATATATAATTTTGATGTTGTTCATTGTCTAAGGAATTTTATAGCTAATGATGATGCCCTTTCTTGAACTCCTTTTCCTTCTTTGTTCTTTTCTCATGTTTTTGATAAGTCTATTATTCCAATATTTATGGATTTTTTGGATAAGGATTCTGTGCCATCGGCAATTGTTGTACTTGATATTTAATGTCCATAAGGTGTAGAGTAAAATTTACCTTTTCTTGATAAGATTTGTGAGGCTTAAAAGATGAGCCATGGATTCGAAAGCTTTGCAATAGGTTTGAGAATCTTACATCACTTGCTAATAACTTGCTATTTCAGCATTTATAGGGGATAGATCCTAATAATCATTTACAGCTGGTGATGCCTTTTATCTTTATTCCACGCTTTTTTCATGCTTACCATGATTCTCCTATTCTAGATGAGCATGTGGGATATTATCATGTGATCGAGAAGTTGCATAGGTCTTTTTATTGGCCAGAGATGCAATATAATATTATCTGGCATATGTGTAGCTGCATTTAGTGCTAAGCTCATAATACTCCCTCTTGTGCTACGAAAGGATAGTTGGAGTCAATTGCAACTTCTTGTCCATTTTAGTTAGTGGCATTTGATTTGATGGGGCCTTTTCCACAGTCAATTACTAGCAATGAGTATGTCATTATTGCTTTTGACTATGACTCACTAGGTGAAAGTCAGTGCTCTTACTAGTGTGTTTGCAACTGTTGTTAGATACTTCCTCCTTAATCGAGTAGTGTTCTAGCATTCTTGTCCGGAGTGAATTCTTTCAGATAATAATCCTACATTTATAGCTAAGGATTTTCACATTTTGATATCTTAGTTGAGGATACACCACACTTTTACAAATGTTTATTATCTACAGTCATATGGTTTAGTGGAATGGCTCATTTGGACCTTCAAAGGGATGATTGCAAAGTATGTGAACTTTCAATATTTAGATTGGGATAGTTATTTGCCATCTCTTTGATATGCATATGTCACAAAGATGCAAAGTTCTATTGGTGCTTCACCATATAAACTCTTATATGGTCATGATCCAATACTACTAACGAAGTTGAGTTTCCCTTCATGATTGCCACGAGCTGTCGATGCTAGGTTTTGGGATTAATATTTGAAAAGCATTTTTCCACTTGTCTGAGCAAAGTTTTCCGAACACCTGGGCCGCATACAAGTGG